TTCCAAAGAATTGTTAATCAGTTCTATGAATATAAATAAAAATATTCATAGATTACATTTTATTTTAGACCGCCTACAAATAACGAAATTTAGTCTGTACTTTCATGTTTTTATAGAGTATAGATCTTAACAGTTTCATTATTATTATGATTATATTATATCTATCCTTTTTATAGAAGTAGATGTTCCAAATACCCTATATGTTTCACTACAACGTTTATTTATTCCACATCACCACGATTATCAGGAAAAACTTGTGAGTCACGTGTAATTATTGTAACTTAACAATAATACGCTATTACGAGTTGTAATTACCTCCTGTGAGTGCCTGTTTACCTCGATAAAAGCATATGTTACACCTGCATACAGCTTTTCACGATAAATTGAATAATTATAGATCGCCTCCCTCCGACAGTGAGTGAGGAAGCTTGCAAGGCTTGCGAATTAATTGTGTCTATCGTCTGATAAACGGGGAAATCGTTGTATCACTGAAAGCAATCGTTACTCGCAAGTGTTCACCCTTTAACACTGTTAATCGCGAGTTTAATTGGTTCGTGCTAAATTGTTGTTACGAAGTCCACAGACGATGTCATTGACGGTGAGTCTTATTTGGTATATAGGATCGGGAAAGTGTTTCTTGGAACAAGTTGTATCATTTAGCAACAATGTTGCTTGGCTATTCTTCGACAGAAAACATTGTGACAATTGCGTCACATCCTCTACCTCTACGTCAGACGGATACAGTAGATTTCGTCATACTTGGTCCCGTTTTTGTGCAGCCTAGCGGTAAAAGAATTGGTATAATTCTTGAAATTAAATTTTGAAATACATACAAAATTTGTCTAGGGTCCTTTGTATATAACGCTAAATGTACTTTTGCATATATTGGACATTGCTGAAATGGTCCACTTTCAAATTTTCATGGAACTTCGTGAAATCGTCCTAAATACTCACAAATGAACATATCTGAAAGGTTGTTTGGCATAATTGAAAAATAGCGATGATAACTATTTACCCTACTTATTGCACCCTGTCCAGTTCGTTAAAACTCTCTTCGGTCTTTTATTTATTCCCTTTGTCTTTCTCCTTTCTTTTCTTTTGCACTTTCTGGAACCATTCTGTAATCTTTTTGTCCTCTCTACCACTCATTACATTTTCTACGCCAACAGCCCTTTCTCTACAGTCACTTGTTAAATGTTCTCTAATTCCGAATATATCCCCACACAGCTCGCATTCCCTTCCCCCTCTACCCCAGAACCTGCTCCAATTTTGTAAATTTCCATATTTTCCTCTTACTATTAATTTTTGGCCTCCTCCAATTTCCTTTTAAATATTTTCTTTGAATAATCCTAACTCTTCTATTCAATTTCAATAGCTGTGCAAATAATTTCTCCAAACATCACATCAGTCACGTGTGATCGAATACTTTCTGCCAGGGGTGGTACTACCATTTATCAGACACCCCGTGTTTGCCATCGCAAGTGTTAAACATTCACCTACAGGAAGATGATTCTACACATTGAAAATCCACCTCGGGTCAATTTAACATTTCCTCGTTTCATCGGATACGCGCGTTCCCTATTCCGTGTTGAGCTAACGGAAGAGCAAACGCTTCAGTAGGTACCCTCGAACGAGGAATATCGATGGAGTTATTAGGTAATACCGAGGAACGCGGAGGATGAATCAACGATCGGTTTTAGCGTGTTTCTCTCTTCCTGCCTGATCGCACGGCCCCGATTTCGCTTAATTAATGGCCCGTGTTCGCACAGTTCGCGGGCAACTTGAAGCGATCCCGCGAAGTATCAGACCACCGGGTTATCCTTCAGGGGCGTCGGTGTATCGCGAAAACAGGTTCCGATTGAGCTATCGTGATAATGACCGTTAAAGTCGTATTACCATCGTGGCAGTGGAAGACGATATTTGCAACTTTTTAATTGCACAGAACGCGGCCGTACGCTGTTACGCCTCTAATTAATGTGTGAAAAAAAAAAACGCACGTTGAATTTCCCCTATCGTAAACCCCACGAAGAAACTGCTCGTGAATCGTTTACAACTACTACGGGTTCTTGTTTTATAATTACTATTATTATTATTGGTACTGTTAGTTTACTACGTATTTATTATATAAGAATTGTATTAGAGAAACCTGTGAAGATATGACCTTGAGATGACCTTCAATCTCATAGCCTAATTTCCTCCCTAAACTACATTAACTTTCTCTCGAACCATTTTTTTGTACCCTGACAAATAAGAGAATTAAGGGTGGCAGAGTTAAGTGGAATATTGCATAGTGTAGATGCAGCTTAACAAACGTGACATGTAAGATCGCCTTATTAAAAGAAAACACACCGAGTGTTCCAATCTTACGAATGTAAATTGCACGTTTACTAAGTTCATGGTCAATCTCCCGACCGCCTGATAATTCCAGCTTGTTATTTTTACGCGATTCGCTTTTGCCGGACCGGACGCACAATAAAGTCACGTACATATACGAAGCAATTGCTTCGCCGAGATGAAGGATAATCGTGCCACGATTCCGTTTGCACGTTCGCCACGCCGCAAAACGGATCCTAGAGCGCCAAATTAGGCTTAAGGTGTGTTTCCCGCGTGAATCTGGAAAGCCGCGAAATGAAACGCGGACGGTTAATGCCGGATTTGAAACGAGTTTCAGATTATTATCCGCGAGACTAGGAACAATTTTCGAAGTAGACAAGCCACAAACGGGGCTCGGTTAATTTGACGAGGGGCGAACAAACGGCGGGCTAATGCCTTTCTTTTTTTTTATTTCATTGTCATTTTAATTGCGCAACCTTTCGCAGTTTACATAATTAGCGGAGAGGTCCGACGGAAAATGGGAAAACTCTGGAGGCGCGCGAAACTGTGAACATTTCGCAACTAATTGTAGCAGTTTAGTTTAATTTTGTATAAATTATTCCGGGCTATTGCTCTCATTTTTCTCTTTGTAGTTGTTATTTACTTTGTACGACCACGTGGTCGATTTCGAGGGTATAATTTAGCTTTTTAGGATTCTTATGCGTGGAAAGTATTACGAGTGTTTTCTGAGACCTTTCTTGGCAGACCTTTTATCCTGAATTAGTAGCTTCTGTTTAGTTATTTGTTTCTTGATCTGGATAAATTCAGTATTGTACGAGCCGTTCAAAGACCAAAGTAACCAACTATGTTTTTTCGAATCTTTTCAAATTCTAGTGATAAAGCACTTGGTTGATGCTTGAATTTTTATATTTTTAGATTTGACATTCATATACTTTTTCGGAGTTAATCACTTTCGCAAACGAACGGCTCATATTTGATGATACAGTGTATTCCGTACAGATTAGGGGAGAGTGGGTAGGTTTGGGTCAGTTTCCAATTAATTTGTAGTAGTGATTAAAATGAAACAAAAATACGCAGAGGAAGTGGAGGAACGTTGGTTGTTTTGGACCACGTTTCCTAAAAGATTTTGGCTCAATAGATTTATAGAACGAAGGAGAGCTGGGTGATCACGTGGATTGAAATTTGAAACCTTGGGGTAGGAAAAACAAGTTCCAAATCGATTGCTCACGTCAACCTTTTCTTTTCTCTTTCCGTGTTCGATATCCGCTACAATGTATGATACTGCGTAAAGTATCCATACATGGAACACACACGCATACAAACATCTGTTAACATTTTTTACTTACGAGTTGAAACTTAGTATTCAAAAGTTATTATACGAAGTTGTATGTATGAACGTCTCTTAAATTCATTGTGTTGCAACGTAATATTTTATTCATATTATTAGATATATAATAAATTACAATTATAAGACAAAGTAAATTGCTACATTTTATTAAAGTATGTTTGACTTTACTTTCATATTGGGTGCGAAACGTACTTTTTGTCTGCAATTTTGTTCACGCTTCACGGAACTCGATAAACTATGCATCCCACAGAGGTAACCACTTTTCACATGTTATAAATATGTACGAAGTTTTTATGAATAATGTATTTTCAAACATGACACTTACAAAATTGCTAAAGTTAAGAAAAGACCGTCCAGCCGAATTAGACACGAACTGTACCATTTCATGAAAAAAACTTTAACAGGTGCTTTATCGTTTATTGCAGTCGCAATTATGATTGGGAATGAGGATCTGTTAAAGGTAACCAATTTCAATAATAGACAATTGAAACTGCGCGGATATGGAGGAAAATATTTAATGCAAAACTTATAGATAATTAAATAATCTATAAAACAAGATGCGTTTCGTTAAAATGGTGCCATTGGTTGAGCTGCAAATTCCTTGTAAAGACAAAACTTGGAGATTTTTTCAGACATTGATATCTCTAAAAAGTGCGTGGATGCATACAGACTCCTCTCGATTATCGTCCCAAACTCGGGCTGCGCCGGTACAATAATCATATAGGGAGAAATGCTTTAAACCCTCGTCAATTCGTTTTTTTCCCCAAGTCAACGGATGGGCAAAGTATTCGTTTGAGAAGTTCCACGGCGTCCCCCTCCAATTGTGAGGATATCGCCTGGACAATAATCGTGTAGAACAAGCTAGACAATAATCGAGAAAAGTCTGTAGCTTTAGGCTCGGTACACAAGAGCGGCATGCGTCATTTTGCAGCCACGTAAATTTGAAGTCACGTTTCGGCTGTACATTAATTTCAGTGAAATAATTCACACGTGACGCAGGTTTTAGTGTAAACATTTTCAAGGACCTACGTATATAAATGAAATACGTACTAAAATAACGTGACAACGCTTCAAATTAGATATTAGGTAGGTACTCTGAAATTGCATACCAAGACCGGCCTCTTTCTTGTAAATTTTCTTTGAATATGCAATTGTATTACTTAATTTACTGTTACTTGTCATCATCATTGAGAACGCTCTAGAACGTTTGCGAACGTTTCAACGACATCTGAGACCAGGTGTCAATTCGACACTTGCAGCGATCCCTGCATGTGAGGATGATTGTTTGAATGGGTGTGTGACAATGTAAAGAAGCGACATGGACTACGGGCCAGAATGTCACGAGACTTCAGAGTGTCAAGAGTCTCCAGGGTGTGAAGAGTCGACAGAGTCGTAAGAGTTGCCAAGTGCCAAAGAATTAGAGTTGTGTATTATTATAATTATTAAGCATTTCTTTATTTTTTCTCATAATAATTGCAAATATTCGTACATTTGGAACAAATTAAAATAATTACAATTATTACAGACTAAATAATTAAACATTATGACATTAATTAAAAAATTTGTATTGTGTATTAATAAAATTTATTGATTTTTTAAAATAATTGATTAATTTTCGAATTATTTTTAAACTATTTTACATTATTTTAGATGTAAATAATGTCGATTGCATTAAGACTGTACGGTTGAGGTGGACGAACGGTCCATTACATGTATATCCCAAATTGAATGGGATAGATTGATCTAGCGACATTGTGGTTCTTTTGAATGTCACTGAAAATGGCACAATCATCTGCTCAAACAATAGAGTGATCTCACTTTTTATGACTATGTAAACAAATTTTTGTTTTTATCATAAATTAAATATTTATCAAAATTTCGAAATCAAGTTTACAGACATGCTCAATAACTATCATTAAAATAAGACAATACCGACAGGTGGTGTGTTTGACAGTTAGTTTGAGTAATACATTCCTGGTCTTTCTCTCCCACCGGTCAATCCCTTGCGGACTTACCCTATAATTAATGTTTGTCTACTTAGAATGTGAAAAAGCATTCCTCCACCTGACGCGTCTCGAAATCCCACATATATCCAACAGAGACTTTAAATTAAACGATAAACTGATCGATCATTTTGAAATTAATAAAAACTTGCTATTTCTGTTTCAGAAATATGAAGGGGCACACAGCCTATTGGATCCTAACAATATTTTTTGCTGTATTAATACTACAACAAACAGTTTTAGTAAGCGGTAAGACCATTTCCCAGAAAGATGGAAAATCATCGACAAATTCAGGTACATGCATTAAAGGGTATAGCAAGATAAGGGGGTCAAAAGTACTTTTTTAATAAACTATCGAATGATGTGTCATAGATTCAAATAGGTCGAAAGAGACTTTTGACCCTCTTATGCTGCTTTCCTTTTAAAGAAAACTCTACATACCAGAATAAACTATGACAAATATATGTCTGTTTACTCAAGTATATTTACATTCTATCAACAAGGATAATAATTTTTAGTAGAACAAACTTGAAAAAATTTACACAATTAAACTGAATACAAACATTTTTATTTTCACGACAAATTCATAAACATCATAGTTATAAGGACTTATGTGCAGCCCATGAGCAAAACAAGGTATTCCGCGCCGTGAAATTAATCTTTTTTTGTCCGTATACAACGATCGTTCAACAGTACAAATTACGATAACCACCCTCGGCAACGAAGAATTTATACCACGTAGCTGGAGTAATAATGCCAGTAATTTGGCAATGATCCAAACGATATGCACACAACCTAATTGAAATTCGTTCAGTCCTTTACTAGACAACGTAGTACACCCTTTTCAATTAACATACTCCCCGAGATGGGAGCAATTTTCGAATAACCAAACGACAAAAGCAGCAGGGTAAATTTGAAGAGGATCGAATATCCGAGAGTTAATACCTTTTCATAATTTCATTTTCATTTTTCAATCTCTCGCAGCTTACACAATGTTAGATATCCGAATTATTTATACGAGTAATTGTATCGAAAACACTTTATCGATATACAGGGTGTTTCAGCTGACAATAATTTGCTGGTCGATCGACCAAAAAAAAATGGGTACCTCTGATAGACCGTGAAATCGTGAACATATTACAATTAGGTGCTTATAGCAATTTATTTTCATTCCGACTAAAATATTCAAAACGATCGTTTGGATGTTAGAAGCCCAATAATCTGGCAACGTTCCAACCGATCCACCAAAACCAATCGTAATTCGTTTACCAGGCAACGGTCCCGCCCCGTTCATTTACCAAGTTACCCAGTCGCATCGATAAGATCTGTCGTTCGTGTAACATTTATCGTTCCGGCTGAAAGCAGTGAAAGGACGCTAGAACGTGCCTGTTTCACGATCTATTACGTCGACATTGGATCCACGGCGAGCACGTCCGTGGTTACCGGTGAACGTTCCTTGATCCCATGGTATGCACGATAAACAGTGAAAAAAAAAAAAGAGAGGATCGTGTTAAGCAGAATGCATCGATGCAAGGTTCACTGCCGATAGGTATCTAGTTGCGAACGAGTACAACTTCTACTTAGCCCTTTTGTCGTGGGAAAACACTGGGGTGTCCTTCTGGCAAGTATAGGTGAACACAATGCCGATTACTTGTGGCATTAAACGGCGTCTCTGTCCTGATTAAAGCGATCCCGGTTACGTGTTACGTATCGACTACTGTTGTTCCGGGTATTACAATAGTACTGTAGAGATTATTAAATAATATTGAGTTCTTAAGAGACATAATGATTTTCTGAATGTTTTTAGAAGTAGTTAATAACTTTATCAGGTCTTCATAAATTTTACATAATACAGTAAATCCTCGTTGAGTGTTCGAAGGCTCCTTGGCACTATTAATGAAATCCGTTTCCTCTCGCTCACGGTGTAATAAGAAAAACCAGCTGCGAGTGATTGCAATGTCACTCTTCTAGTGTCATGTAACCGCCAATTAATGTTGACTTTGAAGCAGTACGAACTTCTTCGGTCGGAATTGAGCTACTGAACCTGGAATGTGAAAAACACAATAAAAGCATTAATAAAGTGTAATGATATTTTAACGTAGTAAATTGCTCGGTATAAAAAGTCATTTTCTCTTTAATTTCCACTTTTATAAATTAACCCACAAAGATATAGGTTTCCATTGAAATCCGTGGTTTAGTCTATCTATAATAAACAATCGGCGATATTATTTATTAGGTATTCCAGTGAATAACCCACGATTTTCTTAACAATTTGGGAATATAGTTTCAGTTCAACATATTTTCCAACTCCTTCACTGCATAAAAATAGCATTATTATTACATTACATTAGTAAATGTATTATAAAAGTGTTTGTTTCAGAAAATAAGGACGATTCGGATTTAGAGGGAGCGGAGACGTCGTATAATTGCCCTTACAGACATAACTTGGGAAACTGGTACCACTCTTTTACGTATTTTCCACGACCAGTCACGAGATTTCCGGCCAGGTATACTGGGTACGTATATTAAAAGCACAATTTTCTGTTTCTTTCCTTCAAAAATGAATTTCTCGTTTTTAACCCTTTTACTACGGCAGTCCAGACATTTACTAACCAGATTAGTAAGTGCTCTACTAGGATATGTATACTTTTACTGTAATAATGTAAAGTGTACAATAAATTGAAGATTAAGATATATTCTGGTGGAAGTCTTTCTATAGTTCCAATAATTGTAAAATAAGAAATCTGAAATACGTCATTTTGACGAGATCGTTGATTTTAGCGTTAACTGTGTTATATTTTTCATTTTATGTTTAAATTTTGATTCAGCTTTGGTTTTGGCGTCGGACCAAATGTGACGTATAACATTCATCAGGAAATTATGTGCGGCAGCACTTTTCCACGAAGATGTGAAATCTCCCGATACCGAACGTACGACGGCTCCTGCAATAATCTTCAAAATCCCACATGGGGCATGGCGAACACAAGATACGGACGTCTGTTACCTGCAAATTATGGCGACCGTAAGTCTCCTAATTTCATTAAGTTTTCTACTTCTTAATTCGCTCGTCTCGTATACCATTTGTGTCATTTTCCCCCAAAATCGAAGATTGATTTTTAAATTGTAGTTTCCACTTCCAAAACTTGTGAATTAATTATACATTTATATTTTATGTTAGGATACTTATGAGGGAGGCAGAATCCAATTTTTTCTTTTAGAGTAGTAGTGCAAAGGCCATTTTTTATCCATCCAGAGGGTGGAGGGGTGCAAGGCCCCCTCCCCCTCTCCATTAACCTCGCCCATGAACTCATAGAAACTTACAGAACCTACCCGTTTTTGTGAAATTCTGGCGATCCATGTTTTAAAAATGAAAGTAAAATAGAAGATGCGTGGGCAGACCTTCACTTCAAATCCAAATCCTTGAAGCAAAAAAAATGCTGTCATTTCTGGCATCGTTCAGAAGAGAACGGCAAAGACTCCGTCAAACAGTGAGTGTTCTATTCATTAAATTCACAATCTGATGGCAATCAGTTTTCGGATCAATTGCGAGCAGAAATGAATTCGTTCCAGTGTGGACGTAGGGCGAGCCTTTCAGTTGAACTCGAGCGAGTACTTGTACGCGACTTTACATTCAATTTATAGTGGCAACTGAATCGCTAATGACCCCGTTCTAGAAGGTTGATGCAACTATAAACAACAAATTAAACCAAAAACTTTGAAAAGAAGTCTGAAATACAATTTTCTACGGTTTCTTTGAACTTTACCGTAGTACACAAAGAGGAATGTTTACTCGTTTCTGACGCAGTTTCCTCGGTTCACAATACTCAAGCTATGTACTTCCGTGATCAATAGAAAAATGAATGTCAACTTTCACTATGCTCGACTTCATTCTATCCGTTCGGAAGCATACTCGCCAGTCAAGGTTTTTATTCTTTAGACGTCGTAAACAATTAAGCACAACCATCCATTTATTATAGTGTAACGAACTTCTTTTTTCCCACCGATCTATCGATTTCCCTTGTCGAATTGCCGCGAATAAATGTTCCTAATGGAGACGATACTTTTTATTAGACATTTGCACTGTTGTTTTACATTGTTCATTCTGTTTATTTTGCATGTTTGACACGCTCATTTCCGCGAACGTAGTTTTAACTATTTTTCTTATATCTTAGGTTGTTGCATAATAAATGGCGGTTTTGTGTTGCAGAGAGTTATAACGATTGTCACTGAACACAATACAACGTATTATACTTTTATTTTTCTGTTGTCAGTTCAATCAACTTACATCAAACGAAATGAACACTCATCTCGTACGTGTTGTAATATTCGTCGTAATAATGTTCTAAAGTTGAGTCACTAACGGTACACGAAACAATAAAAATTTATTCTCAAATATGTCAATATCCCTTACAATAAACTTCTCCTTTATGAAGAAATCTCAACGTAATGGACTACAAGTCATATTTTTATTTGCGCAAGAAGGATTATTTACGTTGCCCCGAGGATTATTTTTCTAGCAATGCTCACGATCAGAGAAGGATATTAAAAAATATCTTTGTTCAGATATGAAATCTGGGAATTTCAAACGAGTATTCTTTTTCCACCAAAATATGACGTAAGACGACAGAAAAGAGCAAGCATAAATGCCTCGGCGTAATGAAAGTTTTTTTGAACACGTTGTTGCAAATACGCTGCAGTGTTTCGCGACCTATTACAACACGAGGGAAATCAAATCAAAGATAATTTATTTATTCTTTACGTCAGTCTTCAAGTATCTCATAAGTATACTACAAAGTTGCATACAATTAAAAAAGTGACCGTATTTCAACGTTTTCTTTACTGTTATCTGTACGTCGTTTTTTGTCGCTAATGGACTCCGGATGTGTGTGCCACTTCAGAATTTTGTAGTAAAATGTGTTTTTTTTTCAATTAAATGTTCATTTTTATTTGTTATTTATTACAAATTATTGAAACAAAATTTTTCCCAACACTGGTAATGGGCGCTGGATGATACATAATATTCCTGTGCTACATTATTATTTTTTGTTCTTTCAGTGGTAGTCCTTACTCTGTTGCAATCCTGTAGGTGAGAATAATATTGTTGCCTTTTTCACAACAACGTCGGCCTTTTCATTATCAGTCATATAATTTCATTTTTCTTTGTGATCAATAAAACTGTTACGCGAGAAGAAACGGGAATGCAACATTGCTTCACTCGTGCTTCCAGTTTTTCAGTGGTTCGGACCAGGTGAAAAACACGTTTCGATTTTTGCGACTTCGCATGGAAGTGTAGGAGATATAGTTCATAAAGAAGGAATTTTGTATTGGAACAGGAATTACCCAAAGGTGACAGCATACCTCAAGTAGATATGCTTTAAGGGCGAAATTGAATTTCGACATCGTTTAAACTGTGACGTCATTTTCCGTGTCTACTATAACTAGTTCTTGTTATCCTGTTCTATCATGCACACTAACGAATATTTCACAATCGAACTATAAAATCTATAAAACGAGCATGGGAGTGTTTATAGTAGTTTTATAGTGCTTGTGAAGTATACTTTCAGATACTATGTCTTCATATCTAATTACCAGACTGCGAATATTTATGCAAAATATGCGTAAGATAGATTTTAATGTATGAATTCATAGAGACTGGAATGGAACAATAATTTATTTACTGTGTTAGAAATTCTGAGTTCCACATGAAATAAAGAGATTATTAAAATTAAACTTTCCATTGTATGAATGTTTGAGAACAATAAATCTTCTAATTACATTTTTTCAGATTGACCTTAAATTACTATTATATTATATTATATTATTTATTTATACTATACTCATGTTTAACTTTTCATTTAAGCATGGATTACAACTCAACTCAACTCAAACGATGATTAGTGCTTTTTATTACGTTAAATAAAATGGAAATTATAAAGGGGCAATAGGAGGAATTGATTTCGAAATCAACTAGTTTCCACAAGACGTTTGGAACAAATAGGTACAAGTAATCTCTGTTACGTCTGTTTCAATGTTCGCCGCGGAGGTCATAAAACTTCGTTGTTTCTCTGGCGAACGTCTCCCATGATAAATACCTACTTCTCCAGAAACTTGTTTCAATTTCAACGGAACGAACACCGTCGAACGTGATTCATGTGCTCACATTGGAACCTGGTGTGCCTTCGTTTTATAAGCTACATGTTATCGTATTAACCCTCGAATTACAGACCGCGGAAATCTGTGATCGGATCAATCGTAATCCACAGCGAATTACCAAAGATCTCTATTACGTATACCTATTAATATCTTAATTATGCTTAATTTACAGATGACCCACGTATAACACGATGATTTAGTTCCTAAAAATTGTCGTGTTTTGCGAATTCGTATTACATATACGAAACTAAGAACTAATATTTGCGCACATACAAAAAACAGGGTTAAGTTCCAAAAATGTATAAAAACTATAGTATTCATATTCAATTTAGAATTGTGATTCTACAAAACCGTGTCATTCGGGGGTAGCCTGTACTATATAATCAATATTACATTGTGTCTTCAATTTCTTCAATAAATATTTTTTAATTAATATTGAACAATTCTCCTTATTCTCTATAACTTTTTGTCAGTTTCTTGGCAAAACGATTGCCAAATTTTCCCATTTGTTTTCTGTCCTAAAACAGTACCTACCCTAAGTCCTTGGAAAAAAATTCTGAATTCATACACCAACACAGGCTATCAAATATCTAAAAATGACAGTCCTTCTCAATCGCAGCTTATACCTATCCATTTTATTTAGATAATTCTAAATACAAATAAATTTCGAAAATTCTCGTTTAAATATTCGTTCCGCTGCGGCGATAACCCTCAGTCGGTAAAGTAGTTGCACCATCTTTCAGAGTTATCTTTTTCATCATGCACTAAAATTAATTTATAGACGTAAGTAAATAATCATTACATATATTATTATTAATAGTATCAGCGTAATAAAAAACTACAATGTTATTGCTGTATTCTAAACAGTAAAATTACAAAATTCAATAAAAATGTAAGTTTTACATACATATCTGACTTTATATTAAATTCATAACATTTTTCTAAATATGTGGTGAAATTAATATGTATAATGTTTTTACGCTTACTAAATTATTGTTACACTTACTTTTGCATTGAAATACATATTGTAAGACGCATGCGTTATGATACTTTCCACGTTTCCCGATAGAGGACTAGCAAGTTAAACCTCTTCTCGCAAGTTCTTTCTATACCTTCGGGTAGTATATATACAAGTTCCGAAACGTTATACCTTAAGTGCGTCTATGGCAATATAGCTCAGGTTGGGAATGAATGAATGATTCTTAGCTCAGGGCACAACCACGACGCTACCTTACGCGTGTTTGTGTTTCTTCCAACCTTCTTTATAAATGTTAGGTGTTGGAGATTCAGCCATACTGATGAGTCCACTCCACACCGCGGCAGTACTGGGACGAAACGCACCATTCCGACATTGCGCAGGGTAGCAGAGCAGCCAGCCCCAAGCAGTCGGGATGAAATTTTTGCTTTTTGTAACTTTTAAAATTTTTTCTTTTTTGTCACCTATTTTACGTAAATCTTTTTTGACGTGTAGGCTGTAGATTCTGCATTCTGGACTAACTTTATACCGATTGAATACTGATTGAACAAATAAAATAATTTAATTTTATAATATATTGGTATGTATAGGATATATCAATGTAATGTAACAAAATATTAAACAAATCGATATTTCATGTACTATGATGGCATTAACATTTATAATGGCATTTTCAAAATTCTCGGCTCACAACTACGAAAAGTTTCTGGAGTAGGAAATGCCAAATCGGAATATACCAATGAACAATGAATGGACTATTTACTATACTTATACAACCGCTAAGTACTACGCTGATTTTGTGATATACAGGTTTTTTTACAATTGTTCAACTTTTTAGAAACGTATGTCGACGACTTGTGTTATTTGCTTCAATTTAATCGATTCGTTACGTTTCACGGTTTCGTTCATATCACTAAAACTTTAATTAACCCCCGTTCTTCTTCAGAAAAAATGTCTTTTTTATATAATTTTTGAGCTTTTTAGATAGTATGAAAGTCAATAGCGACGAATTAATGTGGCACACAAAAAGTTTAATAGTGTAGGAGATATTCTAATTTCAAAATTGTTCTAATTTTGAATTCCCTAATTTATTCCAGGAATTCGAGCACCCACGAAGTCAGTCAGTGGAGCAGAATTACCACTTTCTCGATTGGTCAGCTTCACGCTATTTCCCCCCGTGGATATTAACGATTCACTGTGGACATTAGCAGCAATGCAATGGGGACAAATTATTACTCATGACATGGCAATGATTGACGGATCTACTCAGTCCAGTAAGTCTACATTTTTATGGTCACAAAATTCGCCATATCCCGTTAATTAGCCCCTTCGTATAATTTAATTTTGTGTAAACAGTTTACTCGTATTTCAAATAATTTAGGAAATAACGGATTGTACACTGTGAGCCCAGACACCTTGTAGTTAATAAGTCTTAATTTTCTTGTTACAGAACCACACGTGATACAATGTTGTACCGACAATGGACAATTAGTAGAGCCACTACAGCTTCACGGTCAATGCTACCCAATACTCATTCCTTACGATGATCCTGTCTACAGCAAGGCCAACACACAGTGTCTTAACTTCGTTCGTAGTACGACTGACCTTGACCGCGGTTGTTCCTCGCTGTCCAAACCAGCAGAACAGGTTTGCTATTCCTTATACTGGATAACGTCACTTTATCATTTGTTACCTCATACAAATACAGACTGTCCCGTACTGAACCCGATTAACTTCTTTATTTTGTTTTTATTATTCTATTGTAATATTGTTATTACAGTAAAATTGTAAAAACTATGGATTTATTATTAAATCTCTATTGAAATCTAGCTTTCTACTACATTTATCAATTTCAATAGGTTGTCCTGCATATGTAACTACGAACAGGCACTAAATAAGGCTAATAACAACTTTGTGTAAATCTTCTTTTGAATTTCAATTCATCTTTTTAAAATTGTATTCTCGCGTGCCAGTTATCTAATACATAGTACATAAAGTATAGTGGACTCTGAAATTAACCCAGATACAGTGAGGGGATAGATTGAACTAACGGAGACAGAATAGTGGAACCAACGGGGATAGAGCTGGGGGTAGATATGGGGTGAGGGACCTAATAGATACAAAGTACTGGAATCGACAGAGACAAGAGGCTAAGCCGTGAAATTTATACTGGACGACTGGATGGCACAAGTTTCAGTCTTTATATTTCAACTACAGTTGAAAGCTGAAGAGTTGTAATTTTAAATTATTAAAGAACATAATCTTTCAGTTGACCGTAGTTACACACTTCTTGGACCTTTCCCTGGTGTACGGAAACAGCGATCAGATGGCGGCTGACTTGAGGGCTGGCGCTGGCGGTCGTATGAATGTAGATATTCGACATAATAGGGAATGGCCACCCGCGGCAGTCAATAAAAGTCAACTCTGCGAAACTACGGATCCTAGCGAAATCTGCTATCAAACTGGTAAATCCGAAAAAAATTATATAGCAACGGCATTGTAGGCGATATCTACGATGAAACGTACAACGGTCAAATATTTTAGGTTCCGATACGTCTAACAAGGGACACCCCTCAAGTGAAAAATGAAAAAAAAAAAGAATATTTTTTCTGGTCTTAATAAATTCGTCACTGAAGTGGTTAAACAAGTTTGAAAAGTCTGTATGTAAAAAGGACTGGTTAAAGATGGTTAAAACAATCTTTTGTCAAAATATTAATGCAGAAAATTTTTAGAAATGACTGATTTTCGTCGTGTAACTGTTTCGAAAATGTGGTATTTAATGTTTAACAAAATATGCTGAATAATTTCGACAAGTGTAACACGTACCTGGATGAAGATTGATTTGTGTAAATGCATTTAATATTTCTGCAGGTGACACTCGAGCTAACCAGAACCCTCAACTCACCATTCTGCAAATAATACTGCTCAGGGAGCATAACCGCGTCGCCGATGCGTTAGCACATTTGAATCCACATTGGACGGACGAGACTATTTTCCAAGAGACACGACGCATCGTAATTGCAGAAAGCCAACACATTTCGTACTATGAATGGCTGCCATTGTTCTTAGGTACATACATGCAACACTTTCATTACAATATAATATTCAGTGCATATGCATGTAATATTACATATCGCTATAAGTGCCATAAAAATTCAAAAATCCATTATTTTATTACCACTTCCAACGATCCCGCACAAACTGAATTTTTTATTGTTCATAATATTACTCTATTTTAGTCTTCATAAAAATTTTGTTATTCTTCATAATATTACTCCATTTTAGTTCTCGTAAGAATTTTCTTATTTTTCATAAGAATTATAACCAATAAATGAAATAACAACTGTTTTTTTACCTGTTAATAATATTTAAACTCTTAGATATTTATAGCTTTGCGTTCTTGAAAAATTTGCAAATATTATTCCAAACGTATTTCAGTTACAAAAAAAAACCTTATGATCTTCAAAAATCAGTAATCGATTTTCGGGACAATGAACAACGAAAATATTAATTTATTACTCTCATTCGTTCAGGCAATCAGGCTACTTCCGGCAACAAGATCGTATACAATACAAACGATTACGTGAACGACTACGATCCAAATGTGAATCCAAACGTTCTGAACGAACATTCGACCGCAGCTTTCAGATATTTCCATTCTCTTATCGCCGGTTTCCTTAAGTAAGTAATATCACTGTTATATTAACATCTCGAAAACCAAATAGACTAATTAAATGATTCTACAATTCTCACAGTTCCCATTACTCAGAAATTGAATTTTACTAAACATTGATTTGATTTTACAGATTTATTAATAAATTTACCAATATTTCAAAATAATTGTTTTTCAATAATTGTAAAAATGTGTTTGTATACTAATGCACATCATAATTCTTGATTTTCTCTGAATATTTCAGTCTGGTGACTGAACATCGATTAACGAACGGTTCCTTGAGGCTCAGCGATCATCTCAACAGGCCAGGCATCATCGAGGAAAGTGACAACATGGACGGACTGACGAGAGGCATGTCTTATCAGCCTGAAAAAGCGAGCGATCAGTTCTTCGATGCGGAGGCACGTATAAAGAAGGTTTAATGAAATCGTACAAAAAATCGTTAATGCCCAATGTTCTACTTTCAGATTACAGAATTCTTGTTCAGAGGCGGAAGACCGCTAGGGTCTGATCTTCGAGCAACAGACATACAGAGGAATCGCGATCACGGTCTCGCGTCGTATAACAGTTTCCGCGAGTATTGCGGTTTCCCCAGAGCACAAACCTTTAGAGATTTCCTTGACCATATTTCTCCTTCGGTAAGTGAAAGTGGATTTTATAAATAAACATCTTATGCCACAGTAATAGGTGTCACTGTTCAAGGAACATTGAAGGTTCAAAGAGTGGCGTTTTTTTATTGATTCTGAAAGCCCCATCCTTTGTGAATATTTGCAAAAAAAGTATCGAAGCAGTCCAAAACAAACGAAACCATCGATTTTACCTATGCAATAGTCCTGTACCCCCTTAATTTGTTCCTCGGTGTCAAATTGGCGCAGTGGTAAAATATTAATACAACAAAGAAATGAATAGTTAAATTTGAAATTTCTTTGATTAAAAATTAAACGAGTTTAATGTTGCTTGAACAGAAATGGAGAATAACACAGAGATTAATGTACCATACTTTTATGGTTCAAGGAAGTTGTTTATTGATATTTTTGTTACGTAATGATGGACGATCATTCATACGCATTTCGTAACGGAATCATTGATTTGAGTGAATTGCATAATGTAAACTCAAATTATTCTTTCATCGATTGCGTAAGAATTATCGCGCTATACTGGAGCTGAAATCGTTAAGATTGCTTCCTATTCTGTTCGTAGAATGTGGAAAAGTTGTCACAATTGTATGCCAGTCCTGAGGACGTCGAGCTAACCGTTGGCGGATCGTTAGAGAGACACGTGCCAGGCACACTTTCCGGCCCAACGTTCTTATGTATTCTCATTAGACAATTTTATCGAACTCGCGTGGGTGATCGTTACTGGTATGAAAGGGGTAACCATGAATCAGCATTTACTATAGGTATGAATTCGAAAATATTAAAATCAAAATAAAGTTGCAATATTAGGATTTTTACTGTAATATGAATTATTACTAGACGACGGACTTTAGCACATCTATGTCAATGTTCAAATACAGTAACCCAAGAACTCCTACAGTGATTGTAGTACTCCGCAGTTTAACGTTTTAGTAATCATTTTATTAAAGAAAGGATTAATTGAAGTAGAAGGAAACCTTTTTAATTTCGATATAGGAAAATGATTGCCATTTTGTTTTCCGGTTTTTACCTACAATCGTGTCATTTTTCAGAACAATTGAATGCAATACGAAAAAGCAGTGTATCTAGGTTATTCTGTGATAATGGAGATCACATTACGCACATGCAGTTAAGAGGGTTCGAACAAGTATCTACAATGTAAGTTTAATCTATTAGATCACATTACGCACATGCAGTTAAGAGGGTTCGAACAAGTATCTACAATGTAAGTTTAATCTCCACATTTCAGGAAAAGTTCTAAAGAAGTTTCAGTTCGTTCAGAAGAAGTTTAAACTGAATTTAATACAGCAATTTGTCGTAAGATATTGGCAATATTTGCGATTAGTGTTCAAAATAGTTTTCATTCGTCACAATGCGTTAAGCACAATAATTATAAAAGCTCTGGAAACATGGATTGCATTCCTCCGTCAAAATGGCAGAAAGAGTAGCAATCCTGAGCAGTATAATAACAATGTGTGCATCATTTTGTCTGATTGGCTTTCAATGACAATGAACCCTATTCTGAATGAACAATGAAACACGTGTTTCTAATTAATATTAAACCGAAAAGAAAGGATTTTTTTCAATAATTGATAATAAAACACATCAAGCGTTCACGATTCATTGCTAATTTAAATTAAATTCGAAAACTTTTAAGACAAACTGGGTATATTACGATTTTACTATTGTTCTAGTCAATTAAGAGTTTCTGTTAATTTCAGGAATCCCATTATGAACTGCGCTGATATTCCATCGGTAGATCTTTCGTTATGGAAAGATTATGCACCGGAAATAACAAGTCATCAACATATACACTTTCCGCAATTTAAAAAGTGAAAATACTGTCTTGGTAAAGTTTTTAGAAATGTTTACATTTTTACAGAATTTTTAAGCACGACTAGATATAGGTGTAATTATAATAACTCATTATAAGAAGTACGTGTATCAACAGTTAGTACGAATTTGTGATACAAAACATTGATATTAATAAAATGCATTATTTTTTCTAAAAATTGAATTTTCTAATAATGTAATCACAATCCACCATATGTTCATTTTAATCTTACCTAATTTTTAGATTAACAAAATAATATTTTTTTAATTCCACTTTCTTATGAAATACTTTTTAATCAAACAATATGTTTCAGAAAAATATGACTTTTGAGGATACTGTTGTATTGTATTTCATAAAGACTTAATTAAGAGGTACAATTATTATGTTATTTGCATTTTTCAAAAAGAAAATTTTTAACAAATGCCTATCCAGAAATGAACCGTTGAACAATCCAGTGCGACGTATAAGAAACGAATCTGCAACAAGTAAATGTGAATTAAACGGCACATGACAGAAGCCTTACCTGTTTCGAATCCGCATCTGAACGAACGTAGCTACGCATTTTCCGAGTGTCATCGTGAGTACAGAATTGACACGTTCAAATGTGTAGTTTTCATTTGTAATCGGTGGAACAATTGACGGTATCGTACAAATATCAATACGCATGACAACGCAATCGATAAGATTAACTTTAAGATGAAAATAACCCCGACAGTCTTGACATAGTTGAAATTTTTTCTGATTTTGTTAACTAAATCAGAAGGCAACTATTTAATTCTATGGAATATGAGTTGACTCTTTACACCCCACTGGCACCACTGCTACTCCACCGCAAAATACAAGTTGCGTTTATTACAATGCAAATTTATCACTATAACCGATAAAATTTGAATTTTGTAAATCCTATAAATCGTTATTAGGAAAGCAACACTTACACGTTTCAGAACAGACGCGACAAAGATATCTTTAGGCTTCTAGTCTGTTACAATAAAAGTGTCTTGAAGTGTAAAGAGTTAACAGCAGCTAATTTAGTCAGCTTTTCGAAAACAGTGTTAAGTTTATCCGAGTCCATTTACAATTGGTATCCGTGAATCTATACATATAAATTCTTATGTAATTGCGCATAAGCAATAGTGAATACGTCAATCTTACAATCTTCAATATTACACAATAGAAAAAAGTTAGTTCAATATACTCGTGACAAAGCGGATGTTCAGGAACATTAATTAATTTCAAAACGATAAAAAAAAGTCGCTCAACCGTGATTTACTGACGTAGCGACGCGTTAATTCACCGCGTGATATTTCTTTGTCGTTTATCATGTCACCGTTTATTTGCAATATATTACGACGTAAAATGGACTTTACGGCTTATTCTAAGTCGTTCAATAAAATTTCTTATCTTACACATATTTACGACCGTTTCAGAAGTGTTCCTTATTGAAAAACGAATATTGCAGTCGATCTCGAAATGATCGGACTAAAAGGGCTCATAATCAAAAATTCTAGAGTACAGTCCTTATCGTGATACACTGACAAAACAACGTTCGATAAGTGAAAAGCGATAGTAATTCCAAAAAGACAAATGATTACATACGCACAACAACATTATCTCGGAGGAATTCAATCAAATTAATGACCACCAAGGAAGTTTTCTGAATATTACAATAAACTTTGATTAATGTCATTCGTTGAGTGCAAAACATAATTCACGATACTATTGTATTTGTGCGGGTCAAACATGATGTCAATTACATTGCACGATAAAAATATATCCATTGTTTATTCGTATTCAAAATTTGCCGACTTTAGTAGCGGAATATAATTTACGATAAAATGGCGACGGAAGCTGTGAAACGAAGGAAAAATAATGTTATTTTTATGGAATACTTACCATCTATATTGTCTGCAAAACAAATAATTTTATATATTCACGAAGTTGTTAATGGTTTTATTCACGTTTTCTCTGTGTTCAGGAAAAAATGATAATCGGTTAAAAAATTTTCAACAGATAAGTTTGTTTGTTATGTCAGGAGAGTAATAAACATCAATGTAATTCGTGTAACGATATAATTATTTGGTGAAAACAAGATTGAGTATAAATAGTAGTACAATTTATCAGAAACTTTGTTTGCTTAATCCTATAAAAACGATTGACAATAATATATACGAAAAAATCTTATAAATACCATAATACAATAACAATTGGAAATAAAAGAAAATAAAATTGTAATTTCAATAAATTGACGGAATAGGACAAATAAAACATCGAAGTCATCGAACCAGAGGTGAAATGTAAACAAGAATTTGAAATAAAAATTATTATGTAAGTGTATATATTAACAAAAGTGATTGATAGTTGAAATTTTCTTCGTACGAACAACAATAACGAAAAAATTAAAGTTACGAGCAGTTGAAAATTGTTATTAAAAACAATTATACATCATTTTATTAAATAAATGTTTATTTCTTATTTATTCTTGCCGTTAGTATAAAACATTTCTGAGCAAATACATATGACTTTATGTATTATGTAACAGACATACAGTATAAAATATTTGGGAAATTAACTCAAGCCGAGTACTCTGAACTATTGCAGAGTAATGTTAAATATAAAATATTGTAGAGTAAAGTTTGTTCTTGTTCTGTCTTTTTTCTTCGCAAAATCTGTACTTAATTTATTGTGTACAAATTAATACTTTATATTGCTTAGACTGAGGTATGCAAATGATTAATGTAATCATGTACCTCAGTGTACACAGTATATTATAAAAATCTTGTTAATTCGTTACTGCCCCATGTGGTCGCTTCTGAGGGTTACCAATCCTTGCGCAAGAAAGAATATACGTCTCTCCACAAACGCTTTCAAAGTTAATAAGTTTCTAAAGCAAGTAGCTATCAAATAAAATCATATTAATAACTTAATACTGTATTAAATAACAAAGTTTGTTCCCCTTGGCTTTAGCTTGCAAGGCAGTGTCGGTTTGGAGAATACATTTGTAATTTTATTGTGCAGATGTTTAATGCATTCTGGAAGAGGAGTATGTTCAGCGAAATTTTCTAAGAATGGTCGTTTGAAAAGCCTCTTGGCTTCTTTTCGTTGTTCTGGTGTCACAATTCTGTCATCCAGGTGTATCAAATGAGGAAACCAAGATATGACGTATAACCTTGTAAAAAATATTTGTCTCAGTGCGATGAAAATACATTTCATTTTGTAACATGTATAATGTACATATGTAAAAAATATGTTTCATTCATAACATTTACAAATTTGGTATTGCCTTGTGTTTCATACCTGTATTGAAGATAGTCATAGAAAGTTCCACCGTTCAAGTAGCTCGGTGCTGCCTTATTACCCATAAGACATAAGTATCTGATGTTTGGTACACTCTGATAGAGATTCTTTATAAATGGATATAACTCCTCTACATTATTATTATTTAACCACAAAAGTTGAAGTTTTGGCATATGTGGGAATACAGTGTGATCATCTATGTTATTATGATCTAGATTTAAAGACGTTAAATTCTCAAATTCAGCCAGAAATTGTAAGTTTCTATAAAAAAGAAACAATAGAAAAAACTGATTCGTCTTATTGGAAACTTTATCCACAATTATGTATAAATTTATACACATATTGCAAAAACTAAACCCTGCATACATACCTACTAAACTTATTATGACTAATATCCAGAGTATGTACAGTGTTACCATAATTTTCAATAATGTCAAATGGCATATGAAACAGATTTTCAAAAGCAAGTGATAAAGAATCAATATCTACTGATGATGTATCTGTAGATAAAGACTTTGGGTGTCTACAATGTATATCTACAAATATTAGTTTGCCTAAGGAAGTCATGGCGTATTGTTCTACCTCGTCGGCTTCTTTTTGTAATTCTAACTTATCACTGTAATCCAACCTGGAAAAACATTATTTTACATATGTCATGTTCACATAGAACTGTACTACTTTTTTAAATGATAATTTTTAGAATTTTTCAAGTAGCTAGTACTCAAATACCATGTAAATGATTTATGACATATTTTCATGTAAAAAAATGTGAACATAAAACGTATTTGTATATATCAACTTGTAAAGCAAATTTGATAATGCAAGATTCAAAGTAATTGAGAAAACACGGAGTATTAATATCGATGATTATTAAGTGTATCAACATCTTGAATAATTCATTTTAAGGTTCTCTTAATAAGCATTATTAATATTCACTTAGGTATTACTGTGTTAAATACTAAAAGTAAATGAGTGGTGGAATTGATATTAAGTTTAATGTTTCTTACATTCCTACATACTTGGAAAGTTTCTTTCAAACACAACATGAAAAGAAATAAACATTCACAGACCAATTTCAAACACTATCAATTTCTAAAAAATCAGATTTCTGGACAAACATATCTCAAAATACTTACATCATGCCTTGACTAGTATCACCTTATAGGGCAGTAACTTTCAATGAGCAATCAATGCGTTAGAATCATGCAATATACTTTTCACTCACTACATTTATCAATACCATTCACCCTAACATCGGCTAAAGCTACAGCTTGCATTGACAGATAATATTGCGTAAATAGAAGAACTTGTAAGGTCTCGGTGTAATATGCAATGCTGCATATAGTGATTGGGTCAACCATAGTGAGTCTTCCTAAGGTATGATTGATACTGAGCTCTCAGATCCGCGAAGGTGTACCAGATAAAGTTTATCGTTTATCTGATGACAGTTGCCGATAAGATACGAATGAAATAAATTCACACGCGAAATGTTATCTATATATATATACATATATATATAGATATACTTATATACGATCCAATTAGAAACGGAAAAGGTTTGAGGTTAGAATATCAGTGTTATATAATGTAAAAACGTTAGATAATTCGTTAACAGCATAGGCGGCTTGTCATTAGTATTAACTGATGAAGAAAGCCAGAGATTAAGCGGAAGAATTTCAAGTGTGTACTTACCGAATTTTCCTGCATATCTTGTTTTTAAATCTTCCCACCAACCATTTAAGAGGCGACAAATATTTTTGTGCTACTTACTGCAGTGAGATGGTGCTGCTAGTTTGAATGTTTGACAAATGTCACAGTCGCACAATACTCGCAGCTGTTGTGTGACTATCGCATATTATCGAACTGTATATTGATTAATCGTTTTGGACTTTTACGTTTCGCGGTAAGCTGTGCCTTTTTTCTTCATTATTTATATAAATCTTTTATTTTATATAAAGAAACGATACTTATTGAATACTTCTTGTTCTAATACAACTGCAAATTATCTATGTGTATTCTAATGTACGTTATGTTAGGTGTATAAAAAAGTATATTCTATAATATTTAAGATATGTCCGTAAACATTAGCATTGTTCTCGGACAGACTTGCTTTGAAATCTAAATGTTAGGTTAATTCAGTATAAATTTTAAAAAGTTATAGCGAAAATAAAATATTGCTGGTGTGTACGTTTCTGTGATGTGCTGTTACTTTTATTTATCATGTATTTATTTATGAATATCTATAATATATAGCGGATTATTTTAACAATGAGTAAACAAAATTATGTACACTATGAGTATGTCACTATTTAGTTTCGAGATAAATATTATTTACGCTCGGCGTCGTGTGAGATAGCCTAACTTTCCACGAAGACTTGAACTGCATTTAATGTTCAGTTCATTTGTGTATACTTAATACTTCGACGAGTCTCAGTGAAGGTCCTAGAATATAAATTAGAGCATAAATGTTAAGTAACAAGAAACTACGAAACATGTTAAAAATTTAAGAAACTGTTCCTTGTAAGAACGTGCCTGTTCTATCTTATTTTCGTTGTAACTTATGAACAAATTGAGATGAACCCTGAATGTATATGGTATTTTTGGTTTGAGAGTAGATTTATCAAAGAGGACCCTCTATATGTTTCTTTAATTGTTTTGAACACTAGTTCACTCCCTTCAGAGGTCTTTGCAAGTTTATCGAGCTGTGTATCATTTGTCCCACGTCCATTCAAATTAGATGCTCTCAAAAACGGTATTTTCTGCAAACAATTTTTATTAATGGTTCTGTCTGTTCTTCTATTTAAAAAATGGATGGAAATGTTTGAAAGTCACAGCCTAGTCCAGAGATACCTTTATTTACAGAGCAACGTGAATTTGACATTTACATAACTATCTACGCTCGCGTCGTCATCGACACGTTTCACAAACCATCAGTGTACCATTAATACATCTTTTGAATCGAAGAACAACAATAACGCGAGTGGTGGTAGAGATGAACGGTTTGTTGTTTTTCTGCCGGCGAAATTCGCGTTCAAGAACGTTTTATATCGTCGTGGATTCTCTTCTGTCGTCGGAACAATCGCTATAATAACCAACGGGTTAATATGTATCGTCGTACATAGTGCAGCCGCTTCTAACGGACTCTGTCCGGCATTATTTACATGTTTCACTACTTCGACGCGTGCACTTGCACGCGTATCTTCATGGGCAGTGATTGATGACGAAAAGTGAATACCATAACGGATGTTACGATACTTCATGTATTCCATTGTATTATCCAACTCGTGTCTGAGAATTAACTGTAGTCTGAGACGCACGAAAACAGCATAAACAGCTGTTACGACTTATGCATGAGATTAAGATCGTCGGTATTAATTGTAATTTCATATGGCACACCGTTGAATAAAATATTTGCTGGAAATATACTAGAGATCAATTAGTTCAATATTAGAGCAACACATGTACACCGGTTTTTATAATATTTAATTCTTTTTAATTGTTTGTTTATGCAAGGAGTCTAAGATCGAGCAGTTACAGCCGGACAGGAGGTGATTCTATAAACAAAACGTAAGTCGAAAAAAAAGAATAAATATTTTTCATTTGTTTTCGTTCTCGAGAAAATTGGGTTTGAATATTCATTTAAAACGCGTGTATTCGTGCTGGCAATAAGTAGAAACGGTCTGTAATGAACAGACGCGCTAGCAAGGTCCTATTCTACTGCCTCTACTGAGATTTGACGGGTTCCTGACAGTATTATATGAATTTATTATATTATTATATGATATTCGAAAGAATTTTCAAAAGTAACTTATGTCTCATATTTAATAAATAAATGTACACAAATATACAATCAGATGATTCGCTAATGCTTTGAAATCTAATATGATTTCTTTAAACATTAGATATGGCACTTTTACCATACGATATATGATATTGATACTGGATCTACGTTTAAAATAATTGTTTTAAAAAACGTAGGTGCGTTATTCCAAATTTTCTCTTTTGTTCTTAAGTCACCGTGAATAAATTGCGGATCTTTACGCAAATGCACGGTTTTAGACAATTTGTCAAAAATAAAGTTTGATACAAATATATTTTCTATATTAGATGTTTTATTATGTGAACAATAACATATAAACGCTATTCAACTTCATTTGGAAGTGCTATAAAAGAATTAAGAAACGCTACAAATGCATAAATATCTATTGCCTCGCTATGAATAATCACACTCTCCTTGTTTTACGAAATAAATATACGTACCTGTGAGTTATAATTAAAAACGTATCATAAAGAAATGTATGTAGGAAGTTTCATCGATAATACATCGAACGTGTAACTTTTTGCTGCGTCTCGAGTCGCGCGAGGTATAGAACAGCAACTTCAAATCGAAGAAATCAATTCTCCCGTTAATGCTTTCAATTTCCTTTTATTATACACTCAGAGTTACATGACAGGCTATGTTAAATCGCGACAACAACGTTATTGTTTGATATCTCGAAGCAGAATAAAGTTTCGAATGGTACAAATAAATCTGGATATCTCTCGCTCGTATTCGAACACGTGATTATACTTTCTCATTTTCCAAAGTTATTTTTTAGATGAAAAAAGTAACGAAAATAACACTCAACAGAAATATAGGAACACATTAATAGCGCGATGATGGATGCAGTAGTCTAATACAAGACGAAAAAAAGATAATAGAGAATGATTAATATGTTAAACAAAACCTCTAGCTCAACATTGTTTGAAAATATTAACGTTTCAACTTTCATATACCGTACCCTTCAATTAAACAATGAACTTTAAACTAATTGATATGTTGCTGGATATATGATAGTTTCGAACGAACACGATTGCGAGTATTAGTGTTTTGTTTTTGTTTTTGTCTAAACGAAATCTTTATTGCCCACCGAATAGTTCCACTGCTCCTCGTTTAAGACACATTTATATTGCCCCGAAGAAAACAATGTATCTTAAATAATAGTATGTTTTTCAATGAAAATGTAACATCGATAGGAATCCCATTGAAAATTCGGGCAATAGACAGCTAACCGGTCTAGAATGCAAACACTTGCCAGCATTCAATTCGTCAACTGCATTTTCGAGTCAACACCGATTAAAATTTATAAATCTCTGTAATTACAATTTATTGAAAACTCTGTCATTCAAATATATATATATATATTTTTATATATTTATATAATTCTGTAGGTATGCATAATTTTCTTTTTACTTCTCATTATAACAGCATATAGAATGTCTATGCGAACACACAATTTAGGGCAATACCGACAACTCGTTTAAAATATAATAACAGTTCGATCGTGGCCCTTCGTGCACATTTAATTAAGCCGACTTGCCCGAAACTTTTTATAGTGTTCAGACACCGTGCAAACGATTAACACGAAGTTATACCTTGTCCCCCCGATACCGTCCCGCATCGATCTTTTTCGTCGCCGTTACACGGACAACGCTGGATCTAATATGGGCGTATTAATTCCGAACAGGTTTATTTTAAACTCTGAAAATACCGTCTGGCGGGCCGTAGACTGGAGGGAAACGCGATTTGCTAATTAAACTCCATCGTCTGGTGGTCTTCTGACGAAAAACGATGGGAAAACGACGCGATGCGACCCTCGCTGCTGAGAGGTGATTTAGAGGTTATGGTCGCCCGTCGATCGGACGCGTAATCAGTGGCGGTTCGTTTTTTTTTTTACATTTAAAACACGTTACGGATACGGAACATACAGCGAAGATATGATTTATCGTCCGGTAGATGGTCCAGCGGTACGAGATTCGTCCTCTTAAAACGATAATTGTTTCTCGCGAACGAACTCAGCCTTCGTCATGTATTCCATAAATTCATGACGAAGAACGTGCTCGTCTGCCGAGAAGAACGATAGCTACGCCGTGAAATGAATCGTAACCACCTGGTAACCGATCAGAAATTAAATTGTCTGCTATCTTTCGGTTTTTTGTTTTTCTTTTTTTTTATTTCGTTGTCAAACAAGAACCATTATCTGGCCTGTTATACGAGACGGGCGAATCGACCACGAAAAATCAGAAAAATGGACAAGACAATGCGACGCGAGGATACGGTAATATGCGTCTCGCGGTTCCACGGGGACAACGAGTTAGAATGTGGTTTTCCCGAAAATAAAGTTTCCGGCTGTGGTCGGCTCGTCCGAGGAGAAATATTGCTTCCAGAGGTTGTTGAATTTCTCCCAAGTTATTTCCTGACCCTATGCAAATGGAAAACGGTGCGGCGGAATTAGCGGGGTTGTCTAGGGACAGTGCAGTGTTGAGCGAATTTCTAGTGAAATTCGTGCATTTGTTATTTTATAAACGGTGGTAGGCAAATTTCAATTTGATTCACGAATAACACTATTGCTCAAAAGTTTGAGAGTGTTTACTGAACAAATAATGGACTTGGATTTTTTTTAATGAAATTTACATAAATAATTTCATGACTTTTCCAGCAAAAGCGCGACGTTCTAATATCTTGTATTGTATGTATCAATAAAATAAGTAGCAATTATATAAGTATAGGAATAACTTATTCGAATTATGCCCAACACTGCTGGGAAGAAGGGTTTTTTAGCGCGTTTTTGTAGCGTGATTTGCACTTACGACTCCTAATTTTTTGAAAGCCTCTCTGGCCTCGGCCTCCGCGACGCCGTGGTATCTGCAGACGTTGCAAAACTCGTTCTCGTCGATGGATTTGTCACCTAGTGAACAGTAGCGATACGTAGTAGTTTGAAGGTGTAAAATTTGTTAACTATTGGCACTCTTTAATCAACTGTGCTATTTATTGCCAAATAAGGAAGAGTTTCCGAAATCGTACTAATTAAGGTATTTTCTGTCGTATTTAGTAACAGTTACTGTCACAATTAATTACAGAGTTAATCCGTAATTGGTACGATTGAAGTAACCGCTCATTTCTGATCCAAGATATAAAATTTGATTTTCTATTTATATTACTATTTATATATCCAGCACGAGATCGTGCAAAAACATAATAACACAAAAAATTGATGAGGTACAATTTAGGTGAACGGTATTCGGCAACTATACATATATTGCAAAGTATAGTTGATTAGTCAGATGAAATCTGATAACTTCAATATATAAAAGCTTTTAATACTTTGTCGTTTTATGATTCTGTTTGTGTAGCTTCTTGCTTAAAAGCTGATTATTCTCAGCATTTTTAAATCGTTCTAGTATAAATATTCTCGTGCTCAAATTATGTTCCCACACGAATATATAATAACGTAACCTTCAGCCATATTGGAAAGAACGCAACAATATTTTTTCATCGTTTTGAAGAATCGAAAGGGAAACAAACTTACCAGATGCGTCGAACAACTGGAACATCAAAGTCATGTACGTTTCCTGCCAGTCGGATGGATTCGACGGATCGTTCGCGTATTCCTCCCACAATGAATACCATTCCTCTCGACTAACCTGAGAAACATCAATGTAAAAAGTAAAATAACTGAACGGACAAGTGATTTAGACATCTTTCTTCATTTCATTTCAAGGCTGATGTCATGTTACTCTTTATGCACAGTATGAAAAACTGTTGTGGCGAGTTGTATATTCTACATCATTATTCCGAATCGCAATTGTTTAGACGATTGCAATAGACTTTCTGAGGAATTATTTTTTTAGGAAATGGAACCATTCTAGGAGTTGAAAGCAAAGAAATATGAAAAAAAAATTTAAGACAGAAATAAGGTCCACCCTAATATACGGACGTAAGATAGACAAAACGTTCGTTGGATTCTAATTTCGAATTGCAAGCATCGGTGTACTTTATGCAAGTGTGTTTTATATTTTTATGATTTTTTACCTGGCCATCTTGATCTGCGTCGGCTCTTTGCCTTAAACCATCCCACATTTTTAGCAAATTGTCCCTTGTGCTTTGAAGTTTAGGATTGTCGGCTGTCCAGCCTCTGCATTCACTGATTCGCTAAAATTCAAAGGACGCATCATGTAAATATGATATTGATGAAATAAATTTTTCTAATGAAATTGTAGAACTGCTTTTGAAGATAGAATTTCCTGTTATACTTCCAATAACGTTTACTGTTTTCAGTTTAAGAGATATTTTAAAATGATATATTAGAAACTCAATTAAGTACAAATGCTGTGAACGTTAGTTAAAAACGAATCATTGTCTACTTACTTGCACAACAAGGTCTAGATCCTTTTTGTCGATCGCGCCACTTTGATTGCAATCTAAAAAAACAGCACAAAATAGTTGATAAGTATGCACATAAACATTATTCGTGTTATTATTTTTGTTAAACAAATACTCATAAAAAAAATCAGCAGATCTGTGGTTGAATTTTTTAAAGATTTAATTGTATTTGTAATGATTTTCGACTTTAGAATATGTTTTCAATACCGTTTCATAATTATTTAGGAACATAGCGGATTACTTATTGGTAAACCCAATAATTAAAACGTCTTGTTCATATATTAATAAAAACCTCAACATCGTTGAACCTATTTCAAATTTTCGCCAACACAGTGAATCATAGACAAGGACGCCAACACCGCAGAATAGTACTATGGGCTATCCACGTCTACCCCGAAATTGAAAAGACAATACTGGGTGAGAAAGAGGTGGGTTGGGCTTGGCGCGTAGCCAAAGGAGCTAGAGATAAAGCATGGAACGTTTAACATTACATCAAGCTGGTGTCAGGTCCATCATCGCATTAAGTTCACGGAGCCATCCAGTTAGCATTAATGCCTCGTTTCGGGAGCTATTAGTTTCGTGGACTCATTCCTTCCACGTTCGAAACGGAACTTTTCCTTGCGTTTTCGAGCAAAGTTGCTGCGTTAAGTAGCCTGCACGGTATTATCAGTTTAAAAATTCGAAAATTTGTTACTCAGTCATCAGTGGTTCGGTGTAAAAATGAATTTCGTTAGTAACAGGAAGGATTATCGTATGCTCCAGCAATAACAGATGGCGAGTATTTATATGCCAAATTTTATCTAGCACTATGTATACGCAGGATGTTCGACTACTGGTGTCAGAAACTTTAAGGGACGATTCTATGTGTTAGAATAAGATAAATATCAATAATAACGAAATTCTGATGGTAGTTTCATTTTCAGGTTATCAAGAATCAAGCATTGGGGTAAGAAACGCCTGAAACCAGGAAATCTGCGTACAGCCGCTCAGCATAGGGCACGGTAGTGTCGGCACGGACACTAGCGTCCCCTGAAAAGAAAAATAGAGCTTCACTTTTTGGCCAAACATGTGGTATGTACCTCTCCCTTGGCACAATCCCAACTTCTGCACGTCATTCGCAGTCCTTGGCGACGCTACCAGAGAACAGGTATACTATATCCATTCGTTGTTTACATATTTTTATTACTTTCCTGTCCTTTGCATGGAATTCGAGTTTCATTAGTTCACGGACAGTCGTCAACCCGAACACATCTAGTTGGGGCTAAGTAGCTCTTGAATTTTTTTACAATAGTAATTAAATTTATTTATTATAGTGAGTTTTTCTTTAGTTTAAATTAGTTTATTTAGTGTTTATTGTGACCGCCGTTGTTGATTTGAACGAGTAACCTGGTTAATTTCGTGCAACGATTCGTGTGTGTTTTGTGAATTATCGTGAGAAGATAGTCGAGGAGAAGATAGTACAAGGTTTGACGAATTTTTATAAAATTGCAATCTATTGGATAATATCTCGTATGAAGAAAGCTATATATCGCCAGGGTGCATAATTCAACCAAATAGAAATTTTCTCAGAGTCGAAGTGAAATTATGTTTCATTGGTATTAATATTTAAGATTTAGAGTAAATGATACATTTGCCCTAAGAATAAAATTCCTTTTGTATATAGGAAATTATTAACGATAAAGTAATGCTTAAAAGCAAGTCGTCAAAAAAATCGTACGGGAAGGGGTTAAGTCGAATACCGGTCACCAAGTGACCCCCCCATGGCAATGAACGTGTTAAAGGGACTCGAATTCATACACGCAAAACACGCGACAAGGAATCGACATAATGAAATATGGCCGTGATCTACGAGGTCGGCCAAGGGAATATGGTGCTTTGGCCCCTATCCAAACGAAAACTCGCGCACGATTTCACGGCGGGAATCCGTGGAAAAGACGACGGGTACCCGTCGATCGTGCTATTCATCGTTCACGGGGCGAGGTTGTCGTCGTTTGAATCGGACGTCATTAGTTTTCGTAGGCCGTCCCAATTTCGTGGCCCGTGGCGCGTCTTTCCACGCTTCTTTCCGGTATCGGCCGTCTCTCGGCTCTCAGGGATCCATAGACTACCCTCGTCTGTTAATCCTATTAAGTCTTTAGGGTGGCTCTCGCGAATTTTTAATAATTATAAATCTAGTTGAAAATTTAACAAAACATTCTTAAAAGCTTCAACTTTTGATTGCTACCAAGAAAATGTCAACGATAAAATGATTGAAAAATTGTTAATTGTTAAAATGCTTAATTGAATATTGTACAAATATAAGATTTAGTGACGAAACATTTCGTATATTCTGGTCGGGTAATGTATATGAAGGGTTCGACAAAATAATTCAACGTCTCGATGATTTTGATCATGCTAGATGTCTATTCGTATCGTGCTGGAGACAATATGGGGCGTATATTGTGTCATGAATTGATCATATAGGACATGTGGCATGTTGTTTACTATTATAGCTTTCCAAACATATAACAAAAAATTTATACTACAAAATAGCTTCATAAATTCTCATTGAACATGTAAGAGTTTACTCGACGTATATTGTAACTATTTTTCGAAAGTAAGCAAAAATGAATTGTATCAATCGTATGAAATTAAAGCTTAAATAGCTGAAAAGTATTGTTACAGTTCCAAATATACCATTATTACTAAATTTTTTCAAACAATTGATGTTATAATTTTTAAAAACCATCTTTGAAATTGTAAATAGAAGCAATGAAAAGGGCCAGGAAAATAACTGTATCAAATCAGGGTAGCTAGAAGGAACGTTTTGGCTTTTGTATTTCATGGTTTTGCTTGAACGTGTGCCAGTTTTATAAAAACCAGAAAAAAGCAGGTGTGTCGAGTGAAGTGAATTACGAACAAAACAACGTTTTATTGTGTGTAGCATTACACGTGTTTCTCGACTTTTACTTTAAAATGCGCCTCTTCCATAGTCGTCAGACAAGGTACTTCCATTAACTGGAATTACCCGGGAATAAGACAACATTTTCTTCCCAGTTAAAAGAACTTCATGGGCGATAGGTATCAATTACAGAAAACAACATAAGACAACTTGTTATTGATTTAAGTTCTAACAATTTCTATTTCGGTAATTTCGAGATAATTAATTAAATTGTAGCAATGATTTTAAATTCGAGGTCATTTAAAAACTTAAAACAAATCATGAACAATTGATGAAATTTCACTTTGACATCGTACATTCTTCTTATAATTCTGTTTAAATTGAACAAAATAATTATTGCAATTTGACAATTAACCCTCAGACACCCTACCTCAGCATACTACACCCCACGCTAGAGCGAATTGGGATTTTGATTTCTCGATAATTAAGAACTTAAACAGAATAAAAGAAGATGGAATTCATAACATATTTTTCGGGGTGAGAAATAATTTTTTAACTATGAACACTTGATACCGTGATGTTAGCCAGATAGAATATTACAGGTGAAACAAAATTTCGCTTGTGCAAATTTGCACTAGCCTGTTGATCGAGGGTTAATAAAAGGCTCCGAAATTGAATCCTCAATAAAACCATTCACAATAAACTTCTAAAAATTAAGACAAAACATACAACGTGATCCGTTATCAGCAGCACACTAATTCGCACAAGTCTGCGTATAAAACTAAGTCAAAAGTCTATAATAAAATTCGGCCGCACAAGCTATCATGTTAGGAAAATCTCGCTCTTGAAATTGTATCCGATACGCATAGATTCGTGCCCACGATGAATAGAAATATCAAGCAACGATCAGACACGACAACTTTTCGAATAATTTTCCTTCGTCGTTGTCCGAAACATCGACAGCACACAATGCACGGGACAGGAGGATCCATTTTTCAGGCCTCCGCAACCCCTGTTTTGACACGTCACACGATTCACCGTCGAGCTCGTGTCAGTCTCTCGTCACCAGTCGGAGTGTACCGGTTTCGCGCGATTTCCATAGAGCACGCGAGAAGGTACGCGATTTATCCCATCCGATCCGTTTGTCCGTCGTCCCTGGCTTCTCTGGGTCACGGTGAAATATCGTATCGACGTCGAAGAACACAGCCTCGGTGGGATATGTTTAGCAGCCGATCGACGGTCAAAGAAGGGAAGAAAGTAAGGGGCTAATGAGGGCCGCGAAGCGTGTACACGCCTGTGACCTCCACACGGACGAGGGCTCGTTGTCACACAGCGAGAAACGTTGCTCTCGATTTGTGCGCGCGTGCAGACACCTGCTGAGCAGCTCTATTCGCAAGTTTTGCTTGCTAATTGCGCGTGATATTTATGGCCAGGTGTTACTCACGCCGACGACACTTTCGCGCGTGAAGTGAATTTCGCGTGTACAAGGTGTTTCCGAAGAATACACCAACGTTCACGAGTATTTGCCTTTTTATTAAAGAATGCTTTAGTCAAATTTTTATAAATGATCGTGAATTTTGTTTGTTTTATGGCTCTCACCGTGAAGGGAATCAGTTCTTTTGAAAGATTAAGCACATTTTGTTGGTAAACTGAATCTATTATGGATAGGCAAATACTTATCAGCGGCAGGGTGTGCTGCTGATAACGGATCACGTTGTATGTTTTGTCTTAATTTTTAGAAGTTTATTGTGAATGGTTTTATTGAGGATTCAATTTCGGAGCCTTTTATTAACCCTCGATCAACAGTAGGCATAGATTTTATAGGGAGAAATGCTTCAGACCTTCCTAAATTCGTTTTTTGCCCGATGCCCGAGCCTATGCAACAAAGTATGCGCTTGACAGGTTCCACGCCCCTCCCCCCAGCGCTAGGACTAATGCCTGGACAATAATCGTGTAGAAGAAGCTAGACAATAATCAAGGGGAGTCTATATTAGGTCATGGCAGATGAATGACTGCATCTAATATTGCCTAGCACGTAATATTGCCACACGTGATATATCATGAAGACGGTAATGAGTATTCGTTCCATTTAGTTTTTTTTTTAAACAAACATTTTTCTAACATACACTGCCTTTTCTCGTGAGAATTATTTTTCGTCCATGCAGATTCCATTTAGACGGTTTTGATCCGCATAAAGAAGGACCACATGGAGCAAAGACTCCGCATAAATCAAGGGACGGGTGTAGAATCTTTTTAACGTACATTATGCGTAATAACAAAAAATCTGTAAAAAAATGGATCTGCCTCGCGCTGCAAGCTCCTCAATTACCCTTCAGTTGAGAACGATTCAAACATGTGAGAGACGATTTTAGGTTGCGCTTACCCTACTATCTACCACGTTATTCTTCATACACACTCTGTAATACTCTGTATCCAGTGAATGGCTCCGAACTTTTAAGCGACGGTGTATGTTACTCGAACATTAGTCGCGGGGCCAACTCCTGTTCACACACACCTCGAATACTTCCCAGAGACCGTTCGTGGAAGATGCGCAAGGGGGCCACGATCGTTGGCGCGAGTCCCTGGGAAAGCTCGGGCACGCAGAAGTGCGTCCAACTTGTATGAATGATTGCCCCCGATGCATGCATACAGACCAGCGGCTCATACGTGACCGTGTCCCGGAGATACGCGGGGCCGTTGGCGAACGTGTAATTTCAACGTGGGCGAACCGCAACCCCCTTAACCGCGTCCATTGTTTATCTCCTCCTGCTCGCGCCATAAATAGGTGTCCGTACGGGCTGGTTCACTTTTGCCCGAACGGTCAACACATAGGTGCCGTCAAGAGACCGAGCCGAATGTCGCCTGTACAGCCGCGATTCCGTTTTCAGCACCGAAAAATACCCTCGAGAGAGAGAGAACGGTATGGGTCAGCCGCACCCCTCTGTCTCATAACCGTATTTCATCTGTTTGGAACGCGACTGCGGCTCGAACTGTTCGCGATAGCCCCGAAAGGGATGAGCGGTGGAATAAGATCGTTACTGGGGTCTCTTGATTCGGGGATGATACAGGGAGAACCAGGTGGAGTCGAGGACAGAATAGAATCGGCTATTTCGGTACTGGCGGACGAACCATTTTTGGTTCTCCGAGAAAAATATCGGATGACTGTCGATGAGGGTAATGGTTATCAGGTTGGGATTGATGGATGGGAATGTGGTTAGATGTAGTTTAGGGTATAGTTCTGATGAACAGTGGAATAAGATCGTTACTGGGGTCTGTTGAGTCGGGGATGATAGAGGGCGAACCAGGCTGAATCGAGGACAGAACAGAATCGGCTATTTCGTTACTGGACCGACGAACCATGTTTGGTTCTCCGAGAAAAATATTTAGAGTAATAACTTAGATAATATGAAAGATATGCACCAAAAACTACAAGTTCCTTGTATCATTAATTCTTAGTTTAAAAGTCGCTTAAAAATGACGCCATCGAGTAGAAATACCCCCTTAACTCTCAAATTTGATTTTCTCGAAAACTAAGCCGAGAATAACAACATTTGATTCCATATTTTTTCTTGTTTTTTTTTTCAGTAGCGATAGATCAAATGTTGAAAATTATGGTAATTTTTTCAAAGATGTGCGTAGTGTTTGTATACTCACCGAAGAAGGTGTTAAAAACGTAGAGTAATTTCTTCTTGCGGAACTCTGACATTGGCATTTTGTCGATCTGTAACAGAGGGAAGTGAGAGGAGTGGTGAGTGTACATGTACGTACTGTATGTGTCGTGTTAATAATCATTCTCGATCGAATGACGATCAGGGTCGATTGTTTCGAGCGACCGACCCTTATTTTATCTCGCCTGGTAAAAAGTAATCGTAGCTTGCTTTTATTGAGCTGCTTTGTACGTCGCCTCGATATTTACAAGGCCGCCGCGAAGACTCAACGTTGGCATAATTCAGGTACATCGACAGGTGTTCACTGTCGAGTAATCATTTTTTCTTGTATGTAGATAACTCGAAAAATTTAGAACCATGTGTCTAGAATTTCTTCCAGCTTTTTAAATAGCTTTAAGCATTAAGGGTAATTTATTAGACTGCGAATGTTTCTGTAAATTCACATGTTTCGAGTAATTTATTTAAACAAAGCTGTAGCTTCTATGAATCAAAGTTAGCCGTGTTTGTAGTATTATAATTCAGGAGATTTAGAGCGAAGTATGGTGACTGTTTTATGATATGTGGTGTATAGTTGTACTTTTTTCTTTTATTACACCCTGTATTTTTGTATTCATATAAGTTTCCTTTACTACAAATACTATTCTCTGCGCATGACACTGTCAATGCGTGTATTTTAAGAAATAAAGATATTTTATGTTTATATTTAATTTCAAACTTAATGTTTGAAAGGTTTGCCATCATCATAGTTGATTATAGTTTGTATTGTATACAAATGTTACCTTGTTTCGAAGATTGTATAAAGATCACAGAATTGTTGCTCTAAAACTTTTTAGTAAACATATTTTGTCATCTTCTTTCCGATAAATAATAATTAGACAAATTAGATCGGATTAATATTGATATTTCAATATAATAAATTAATGTGGAATTAATTCTGAAATAAAATAGGAAATACTTAAAAATATCGAAATACCTATTAATTTTACAATTTTAACAAAAAAACTCAAATGTGTAATATAACTGGACAATAGTACTATAAAAGGAAAGTTATATGATAAAAGAATAATCTTAATTTAGTTATTTAGATAATTATTTAAAATAAAGTGCACTCAGTTCATGACGAAAGAGTAATTTTCATTAAGGTATTTAAGCAATTACTTAAAATGAAGTGCACTCGATCTCAGTTTTAAAGTTACCATGCATACAAGAGGAGACGATTTCAGAAAACCTATGAAATTGTAATCGTATTAATTATATCCTTACGTTTTTTTTCTTCGATGAAGAAATATTTAAGAGTCTAATTGTGATCCTTCCACTCGCTTCAAATCGGAACGACTGGAGTACATGGGAGAGGCAGTCATTTATATAATAAGATTTAAACGCCTTTCTGCCTCAAGATAACACGTATATTTGAGTACTCAATGACGCACATTTCGCTATAATTCCATCGTAGTACACCGATTGCAATTTACGATATTCACAAATATCAAGTAAAGAGTACATTGTATCGCACGTGACGTAAAACCGCTTAACTGAATCACGGAGGATTTGAAAATTCCCCTACAATTAATCTTTATAGTACAAGGAATAACAGGTTATTGTACGCAAAGAAAATTGCATCACTGGTTCCCAGTAATTTGAGAGCTCACTGTGATAATACATAATCAATACTAAAGACATTTATGTATGTTAATGTTATGCTAATTTTGTCAAGGAGTCATATGAATAATATATAAATAATTTCTCTTATGTTTATTTCACAATTAATTATTTCTTTCTCTTTATTTTTTCTACGTTTATTTTCTTGATTTTATTATTCACGTATGCAAGGAATCCATAATGGATATAAAAATTTTAAATAAATTTTTTCTTATCGATATGAATAGACATTTCTTTTTAGGTTATTAATTAAAATTTCTTTTAAGTGGTCAACGTATAATGACGATAATAAACATTTCGAAAAAATATTTTTTTCATAGTGAACCCAAGTTCGCCTTGAGTCTTTTTTTTAAATGGAACCATATAATTTTTTCCATCGTATTGTAGGTGACATTAAGACGAACTCAAACAGCACAAAGAATGACACTTTTATTCACAAATAGTGCGATGCCTCGCGAAACAACAGAAGCGTGCTACGCTTCGACTCTGTGCTTCTTCGCGTTTTACCACTTCCATTGCCGTAAATTTAGTATTGTTTGAATAAAGGCGTCATATTTTTTACTGGTTCAAACCGTCTTAATGTCCCCTATGATATAATGGAAAAAAAATTTATATGGTTCTATTAAAAAAAAAACTTAAGGCGACCTTGGGTTCACTATGAAAAGAATTAATTTTCGAAATGTTTGTAGTCGTTGTATGCTGTCAACTTGCAATAGATAAATTTTGTTTAATAACTTTTTTGTATTGCATTGTCGCAAATGGCTGAAAAATCGTGGATGGTGTTAGAGTGAACACCCTGTGCTATAGTAATTTTAACAGTGTATTTCCCTCATTTTATTCAAGCATTTACATATGCAAGTGACGAAAGAAATTATATCACGCAGTCCCTGGCTAGTTGCTTCCATTCTAAACCCCCTTAAATCCATATGTTTTCGACGATTTATGATTTAAAAACGAAACAAACCGTGTCTGGCTACGTACGGCCTTTTTCACTGTGACAGTCAACGTGTTAAGGGGTTAACAATTTTCGGTAAGTCTATATTACCTAATTCAACAGTTTTCTCATTTTCACGTATCGCTCAGCTTAATTCAAGTAAGACAATCAATCTAATGTGGCAATCTAGTAGTGTCTAGAACGGAACGTGTAAAAGAAGTAATAAATGACATAATCGTGGCGTTTATTTTTAGTCGGCCGTCAAAAAGGAGCATACGTCCCGGGTCACAATGCGCCACTACTAATCGTTCCTTAATCTACAATAAATAAGAAGTAATAACACGTAATCAGCAGCGCTGATAACGATCGATCGGTGATGTAGTTACTTTCGAAAACCGCCATTGCCGGCGCATTACGCGTCAAGGTGAACGTTGACGTCAATCTTTGGGATCGGTTTCGAGCGAACTAATCTTTTGTTTCTCGATTTCGTCGTCGAGCGTGTGGATGTTCACGTATCGACGCTATGTATGATCAGCTACCTCACCTTTCATTTGATATGTCGCTTGATGGAGACGTGGACCAACACGATGGGACTTCTCATCATGTGATCGTGTATTGTCGTGTAAATCTGATAATTAGTAAAGTAAATTTCCAAGTTTGCATCACTCCGGTGGTACGAGGTGTGTCAAAATAGTAATGGGACTAATAACGTAGAAATTTTTATTGTCACGTTATCTAGTAATCAACACTGTCCACTTCAAGATTATCAGTTACTATAATGTTGAATTTAAAAATTAGTATGATTTTTTAAATTCCTTTGAATTATCTAATATTAAGGTTGTCTTAAATTAATTGTTTATGTTGCAGTTTTGTTTTATCTGCTTTGTAAAGAATGAAAATAATGAAAACTGTTGTTGTATCACGTTTTCTTCCTAACGAATAATTTTGAACCGAAGAAAGGAAGTTTTTTCATCAGGCTTGTATTTTCTTCGCTTTATTGTTTCGGAAAGTAAAGCATAATTTCAGAGAACTTGAAACTAGAAACTAAATCCTAATTTCCCCTATTAGGGAAGTTTATCTCCGCGGGGACTTGCGCGAAGAGGTTAAAGGTGACTTTACTGTCTCACATTTTACAGACCGTTTTTATCAATCTTTTTATTTCGGTTGCGTTTTGTTGGAACTTTCTTCGAACTGAGACAGACAATAGAAAGTCTCTCCATTACATAATCTGTTTATAAATGTTCGACATAGATAATATGGATGTATCGTATTATCTTTATATATAAACACAAAAAAATTTGATCTTTAAGTAAAAAATAATTAGGTAGTGTGCAGAATATATCGTAGTTGATTAGTCAATTGGCTACTGAAAGAAATCAAAAAATTACCGGTAACTTTAAAATCTGTAAAAGAAGTATCTTTTGGTACGATTTCAATTACATTTTATATTACAAATCATACTGAGATTAATTTTACATAAAAGTATTATCGTTTTATTTGTAATTTTTTTACCACGATGTAGAATGTATTATGCATTATTAATTTGGTAGAAAGCGGCTTTTTATGCAGATTCAGATTTTTGCAAATTAATTTACTCACTTATCAGAAAATTTTTACGCATTTACGACAAATACATAAAATCTGTTGTCTACTAATTAAAATATGATTTAATAAATGTAAAAGAAAACGTGAGATTACTTTTCCATTTTAATGGATTTCAGTGATCGATAAACATATCATTCATAATTCCTACACGAAAGCTTTTTAAGTATTATAAACCATTACGGAAGAATGTTATATTTTAAAGCTTTTATGGCTCTAAGAGCTTTTTTCTCGTAAGTGTCCGAATTACTTTGAATTTTACGTACAATCTCCAACATCGAAAAATACTAACACACTTCGATAATATAATTGACATACAAGTTATGAGAAATTTTCTGGGAAATGACACTCCGTATAAATAAATTCCATTTCAGAGATTCGACTTATTTTTTTTTTCATGGGGAATTACGTTCTTTCCATTTGTACCACAATTACTGCAATAATTGGCATAACCGCCGGAGGAAGGGATTTTCTGTTCAAAAATAAATTGAAAATGTGAAATAACAATGTTTCGTTGTCATGCTGCCTCAAACCATAATAGTACATTCACCACGTTTAACGATATTCACAAAATTTTCTAGTTATATCTTCGAATTTCTTTTCCTCGAATTTTTTGGCTGCCTATTCATCCCGAAAATGTTTAGAAAAATCATATCAAACCGTATCACAGCCATCTTACAATAGTAGGATGCTCCAGAAATATTACACGAACCTCACCCTTGTAAGGTCTATACTTAATATTGACTCTCACTGTATATAATAATATTCATCGTAGTACACCTGGTGTAAATTCTATTTCGTTTCTCGATTCACCGTTTCACGAAGCAGAGATACGATTCGTCCCCGGACGTTTTACCC